TGCTAATATATATAATGTTTGACTACAATACTGACATTAAACGGTTATATATCACAATTTATTGCAAATCCATGATGACAATGTTAACCCTATTGTGATGACTTTTATGCAAATGAAAGAGTAGAAGCATGAGAAACATATTTTCACTTATGTCTATGATTTTGGCAGTGGCACATACAATCTTTCAAAAAAAAAGAGGCTAAAATAGATTTAAGCCAACTTGGGAGGGATAAAAAAACTATTGTTTAGTGTCCACAACATGGAGCTGGCTTATACACTCATGGCATGAATACTTGCCACCTGGCACATGGGCTTGATGTGACATTACAAGAATAGATGCAACCCAGTGTGAATGAGTAAATTCAACTTCTATTATTAAAGCCAAAACTGATGGTAGCTTATTCAACACAAATATAAAAAAACAATAACAACAGCATTACAATAATAACGAAAGTAAAAGCATATATAATGACATTAATACTACTCTGAATAATAATACTAATACTTTTACTAACAATAATAAAACCAATAATAATACTAATAATATTAATATTATATTATTTTCATTGCAATTATCACTACCATTATCTTTATTACTCAACAGCACTGTATGAAAAATAACTGCCATAAAATGCATTAAGACATCTACTCAATTAGTAACAAATTATTACAAAATTTATAGTCAACAATTCACCTGCTGTAGCCTATCTTCTCTATAATACATATGAAAGTGAGAAAAAGTTATTCTTCAAAGCCAGATAATAGTATCACACATCAAAATAAATAAACAATGTGTTGTTTTCAACAATACTTTTACCTACAAATCAATACATGCATATCAATCACTGTCTTCTAGTTTTAATAAAAGCACATACAGCTCTCAATATTTTCACAAGGATATACACTGAATTCATGCATTAAAAAGAAAACAAGAAAATATATATACATTGTGACAAGCTATTCAATCAATGCTAGATGGTAATTATTTAATAGAGAAATGCAATTTTAATGTGTGCTCAGAGAATTGTCTTATTTACAAGTTAAAAGAGAAAACAAAATTTTTACTGTACAGTGAAAATCAAAATTACCTCATTTCTGATGGGTCCACATGTGACTCTTTAAGTTACTCTTCTGAGCTGAACGGTAAGAGCAAAGCGTGCACGCATATGGTTTCTCACCAGTGTGTACACGGATATGTGCTTTAAGATTTTCCTTCTGGGTCGCTCTGAATGGACAGTGAGGACAAGCAAAAGGCTTCTCCCCAGTATGAGTACGGATGTGGTTCAACAAATTTGTTCTAGTTGTTGCTATGTATGCACAGTAGTGGCACTGATGAACCTTGGATGTATGGCCTTCTTCTGTCCATGTGATTCCTCTTCTACTCACACTCTTGCCGTCAATGCCAAGACCCACCTGTAGGGGATGCCCAGCTTACTCAATCAAAGAAATTTTCACACTTTATTTTCCGGTACTTTTAATACAAATCAAATATCAAATGGGACACAAAATTAATCCTTTAAATTTGCTGATTCTTCAGAGTGAGAGAGTGGGAGTGAACGATAATGAGGATGAATAGGAGTGTGAGTGTGTGTGCTTGAGTGAGGAAGCGAGTGAGTGAATAAGTGGGGATAGTAAATGAATGAATAAATGGGTGAATGATGGGGTGGGTGGGTGTTTCGGTGAGAGAGTGAGTGATGAGGTGAGTGGGTGGGTGAGTAGGTAAGTGAGTGAGTGATGAGTAAGCAACTGGTTGACTGACAAATTTAAATTAAAACCACAAAAAGCTGTTCTGATACATATTTTCCAATATTGTTACTTTGGTGAAAACATTAGTTCACTATGTAATATCTACAAGTCAATATATTACAAAGAAATATTTGACAATAGCTCAGGTTAAATATCCTTCATCCCCTAATATAACAAAATTCTGTTTAATGTAAATGCTTTAATTTTAATTCCTGCACCACAATATGACAATATGTTTTCATTAACCCTGCTCAGGGTTAAAGCAGTACCCTCACAACAAATATGAAAGCATTTTCAAATGAAAATGTTCATTAATCTAATACAATGTATTTTCTTCTTAATTTATAAAAAAACACATGAGGCTATAGTAAACAATTTACTGAATTATATCAAATGAAACTGAGAGAGAGAGAGAGAGAGAGAGAGAGAGAGAGATTTTATATACAGATATTCCCCTACTTAAGAACATTCTACTTATGAACATTCCATACATACAAACAAAAATTTTTAAGTACTAAAGTCAAAAAAATTGTTTGAAAGATGCTAGCAAACTTCAAATTTCCCGACCACGAATATAGTATAGGTATGTCATACTTATTGGGATTTATTTACAGGTATTCTTAATGTAAACAAAACTTTAAAACAAAGGTAAAAAAAGGTAATGGAGACCCGACTTTCGACATACAAACAAATCAACTTACAAACAGCCTCTCGGTCCCCATTATGTTCTCAAGTTGGGGACTTACTGTATGTATATATAAATATATATATATATATATATATATATATATATATATATATATATATATATATATATATATATATATATGTGTGTGTGTGTGTGTGTGTGTGTATATATATATAAATACATATATATATATTTGTATATATATATATTTTATATATCAAACTTGTAAAAATAAAATTAATAAAACAAAGTATACTCAAATCTAACTGAATCTTGCATGGTGTGTGGGGGGGGAGGGGGGATGAGTGCATATGTGTGAGTGCACATACACTGTTTACATGTTGATACTGGTATATACATCCAAAAATAAACACATACACATAACAGACCATTAAACACACACACACTTTATCTAGTTGTTGGACTTATACAATGCAGCTCATAATTTAACGTTTTAACTCTTTTATGGACCCGCTAGTAATAAACCCAAATACTAAATTGTAAACTGAAACTGGAGGACATTTGTGAATGATGAATTCTTGATGAGGAAAATGCTGTCAGGAGTATGTTATTCTCTGTAGTTTTTATTTTGAATTGTTTTTACACATAGATGGTTCCACAAGTGTTCAGCCTCAAAGGGGTTAATTAGTAGGCCCACATTATCTCACCTGATTTCCCCTTACCTTGATAATTACAATGTTACTAACAATACAAGGAAAACAGTAAACAGGTGAGATAGGAGTAGTAACTGACTTAGCATTTGTGGAGCCATCCATCCATGTGTAAACACAATTAGCAATCTAAGATCACAGTAGACACGACATGTATGCACATCATCCCCGATGGTTATGGGTTAAAGCAACATAAATATTAACAGTTGCAATTTATAACTCCTGAATATCTAAACTCTTGAACATCATAATGATCTACAATCATCAGACAAAACTATGCAAATCAATACCTTGTAGTACATATCAGTCACTTATTAATACAAATGTCAATTTTACCATTTCACTTCTTTTACATTATGTAAACTATATAGTATTTTTTTCATTATACTCATTTCCATGAAAGAAATTACACAATCAAACCAATACAGTAAAAAAAAATCAATATATAGCATATAACTTAAAGTAAAGTAAAGTAAAGTAAAGTAGAGCAATGTAAAGTATAGCAAAAAAAAAAATAATGCATGGCACATAACTGTGCAAAAGTAAAATGGTATAATTATAGTATTTTCTTAAAGAGAACCATTACTGCTTAGAGTTTAGCAGTCTAAAAATATACAAACTCCACAAAACTCAATTGCAAATTACTCTTTTGGAGATGGGGTACTTTGCCAAACGACTTTGATTTCAGTTAGCTTGATGGCCCTGATAAACAGGTTTTCAATTCATAATAAAATCCATCACAGATGTATGCTATCATCCCACCTGAATAAGTAATAATAATAATAATAATAATAATAATAATAATAATGATGATGATAATAATAATAACAAAAAAAAACAAATCTTTTACCTTTATGAGTGATGAGACCAAAAATGGCTATTCATAGTACTCTTTTGTGCAGCTCGATAAGAACAAAAAGCACAAACATATGGCTTTTCACCCGTATGAATTCGAATGTGCGTCTGCAAGCTCCCCTTCTGGGAAAATCTAAGTGGACAGTGAGGACAGAGGAAGGGTTTTTCTCCTGTGTGGGTACGGACATGGTTATTCAGATTTGTTTTCATTGCAGATGCATAAGAACAATAAGGACACCGGTGTAACTTGCTGGGGTTGAAGTGATTCTGCACTGGTCTTGGAGGTCTTCCTCTCCCTTGTGCTGACTGACCACCACTGTCCAGATTCACCTGTAGGGGATGCCTCACTTGTGTACTCAAATTATATTACAAAGAATAATATCTACATGATTTGTTAAATAAACTCTGACTTATTCATCATAAAAAAAGTTACTGACATTTCATTAACTCTGATAAACTTTATAAAATCACCCCACAGAAATACAAGACCAATTAACATTAGCTCATCTGTCAGTGGCAAGACTGCTTTGCTATGCTAAGTTAATATACTAGAGCTATATTAGAATATATTGTATAAATAGCATTTAATTTTCAGACAGAGGGATGAGATGCAACAGTCCTTTCCAACTTATATCAGTGAGTGGAAGACTTTCAAGGTTTCTGGATGTATGGGAAAATGTCAGGAAGAAAATTTGCATATTTTAACAAGACCTGACTTCACAAACATTTAAAGTTGGATAGCACTCACTTTACAAATTTTATGACAATTCTAATAAAGGATATCCTAAATTTATACCACAGTGGATCATGATCCCCTTTCAGATGAAAGAGTACCCTCCCCAATATTCACTAAATATGTACTGACAACTGATATATCTAAAATTAGTGAGGAGTATGGGACAACCATTACATCGATTGAAGTTAAGTACTACTTAGCATTGTTGGACTTAATCAGCAATAGTCTAAGGTGATGCAAAAGTAAGATGATCTCACAGTAATATATGAAACTACACAGCATACTTTGTTTGTATTAATAGAGAGGTGGGATTTATTACTATAAGATTCATGAAATAATGGAAGGAATGCACTTTACTGAACCTCAGTTGGCTTCTGACACTGGGAATGCATGTATGTATGTATACATGTATTGTGGTTTTGTATTATAAATATTGTTTACACATAAATTACACACCACATAGTCAATTATTAAGCCTACCTGACTTCAACTTTTTATTGTTTGGATTTTTTTTTCTAATTACTATTATTATTATGAATGATCTTACAATATAACAAAATCATTCAAGTAATGGGATAAACAGGTGAGATCAGGTAGACCTAGAAACTGACTCCTTTTTGTTTAAGCGCTTGTGAAGCTATCTGTGAGTAGACAAAATTAATAAAACCAAACCACAGTGCACAATGTATGTACCCAGTTTGCATGGATTGGGATCATTTAAGATGCTTTCACATTCTAATTCAATAATTCTGCCTTTATTTAAAAATGAAACAGATGTTACCAACTCAATGTAATTTCCCCACAGCTCTGTTGCATGAGCCGCCAGACACTTGTGAAAAAATAGAAGCACAAAGAACATACATTTACCCCACTCTCTATGCTCTGGCTGCACCATATATTTCTTTTGGAAATGAGTTTAAAAAGAGATATTAAACTCACAAATGGTGTTTTCTGGTGAGTACTACTGATATAGCAATTATAGTTACAAATATAATGCACTGAAGTAGCAGTTTTTCTTCCTTTTATCTTATTTTCCCTACTTTTTATTTATAACAGTATTCACAGAGATAAGATACTTGTTCTAATTATGATTTTCAACTACTTTTGAATATGGTATTGTTTATGTGTCTAATAACATAATACAAAGAGTATCTTAACTATTTTTCTTTCACTTTACAAGTTTGCGAGAGGTCATTATCTTGTTTAAATATAACAAACTGACATTTAATTTCAAACATGGTTGTTTGATCTCATCACTTTTGTTTAATCCATTAGAATAAAAGGATGATGTACAGGAATAGAGGGTTTTTAAATAATTATATGTATTTGCATATTGTTTACATTATCATATACACTAGTTGCCTTATAGGAAGAAAAAGAAGAAGAAAAAATGTCATAAAAATATCTATAAAATGGGACGATATAGTATATGCATATATGTCTTCTATATATTATAATCCACTAACTTTGATAACAAATATCCAACTCCACCTATCAGTTTTTAAAATTCTCAACCAATTACATCACAGTAAACTCACTCAACTGTAGACAATAAAAGTCCCATCTATAATTTCCACAAATTCAAATTTTTGGTCATTATTCTTGTTATGTAACAGTATTCATCTGTTAACTGTATTAATAAATCTTAAGTCTTACATGAAATGTGCTTTTCATACATTTATATTCTTTACACTTTACTTATTAAGAGGAACTTATTCCGGTAAACACTGTATTATAGACACTTTATCTATTCAGTATCTATCTCCTTGAGTTAAAGTACATAATAGGATAAACTAAAGTAGTAATCCTTAAAGCCAAAAGCAGGATCCTCCATATCCAAAAGACCTCTAATCTCCTAATGAGAGTTAAGCACACAGCAATAAACTACAGGTTGAAATTACATATAGTGTATATAGCTAATTTGCTGCCAGTATGATAACAATAGCAAGCAATGAATTATTATGTACATCTTTTGCTACAAACTTTTACCTTCATGACTTTAAGTATGTTTATGATATAAATCACTTTCAAGGTGACTCAGACTTAGAAAAAGGTATGAATAAGAAAGAATAACTTCACAGCAAAAGATGTGTATTTCACACGTTCTGATTAGATCTTCATCAGAAGTATATGCATTTCTGATGAAGATTTATTCAAAATGTATCATTAACATTACTTGCCTTATGAAGTAATTCATCCTCATTAGTACCTATTCTACATGTCACAATGAACTCTATTCATTCTTTAACTCATATCATGCCTCTCACCATCTAAATGACATAACATGGGGACAAGAGACAATTTATTCATGGAATGAAAATAATGGCAACATAATTAATCTGGCTACATCTTTCTTCCAGTATGCAAAAGAACTTTCATGGCACATGTAGTGTCAAAACATTTATTTCCAATGCACTAGTAACTTTATATAAACATAATATAAAAGAACTAAAGAAAATAAATTTCCCTAAAAAAAATATATATACAAAATAAATATATTCTCTAAACATACTTATATTAGTATCTATTTTTTCTCAGAAGGATGATGAGTAAACAAATGACTCTTCAAATTGCTCTTTTGTGTTGAGCGATATGGACAATACGAGCAAGCAAATGGCTTCTCTCCAGTGTGTGTGTACATGTGTGACTGCAGATTTCCTTTCTGTGTAAATCTTCGAGAACAATGTGGACAACTAAAAGGTTTTTCCCCTGTATGAATACATATATGTGCTGTCATATTTGTGTTCTTCTTAGTGGTATACTGACAGTACGGACACTTGTACAACTTGCATTTAGTGTCACTCATGGGCCTGGCTCCTGAGGCATCTCTCCAACCACCTTTCCGGCTGCTGGTGATCAGTCCCACCTGTAGGCAATGTTCTACTTACTAATGGTGATATTCAACAAATACACTATATTTTTCCAACCTCTATCCCAAACACTGGCAACCCCTTCAATTAAATATTAAAAAATATAATATTTCTGAGAATATAAGAAACCACAAACATCAGTGATACACACATCGTTCATACATAACATATACGCGATTAAGTAGTAAAGGAACATAATAACTGTTTAAGAGCAAAAAACTTACTATTCAGTTATTATGCTAATAAGTTTCCTTATTAACCAAGACAGTGCTCAATGAATTATGAATATCTGTAGGAGAATATAGAACTATGGAAACTATAAATAAGGATACAATTCATATAAAGATAAATATATAGTTCCATGGAAAAATCTTGGAAGACTTTCTGAAGATGCAGAACCTATTAATTTAAAGATAAAAACTAACAACTTAAAGCTCAGTCTTTACATGTATCAGCTTCTACACAATCTCTAAGTAACTTAACTGAGAATATATTTTTTTACAAGAGTCAACATAAAGCCAAATATATATATTATAAAAATAAGCAGTTCTACGAAGGAAAAGGTATATACAGTTATACTTACAATTTACAAATTCTATGAATCACAAGCTTACAAATCCCAAATATGTGATAGAAAAAACACTCAAATTCAAATGTACAACTGCATGTATTCATGTATATGTACACTTGTATTTATGCATATATGAGCACACATACACATATGTAAGCATGAACACACAGAAATGCAGGCATACGGACACTCATACCCCAACAAATAAACACACACACACACACAAAGATCATGAGCATATTCACTTAACCACATTTATATGCTAAACCAGATTCTTTCAAAAAAATCAAATGCAGCTCCACCCCCACCTCTACCCCCCCCACACACACACACTACCAAGGACACACCTGAGTGCGGTTAATTCAGAAAACAATGTTAAACATGATGAATTAAGATATGATTTTTCAAATTACCCTTTTCAGCAGATCTAAATGGACAATGAGAACAAAAGTATGGCTTTTCACCAGTATGTGTACGAATATGTCTTTTTAAGCTTTCTTTAGTAGTTGCTGAATGAGGACAATATGTACATGGAAATGGCTTTTCTCCAGTATGTGTTCTTAAATGAGTGACTAGATTTGTGCTTTTCTTTGTATTGTAGTCACAGTAGGGGCACTGATGCAACTTGGCAGTAGAATTCTTGTTCACTGTGGTTCCACTGCCTCCTCCTCTCCTTAGACCACCACTGTTCAGCCCTACCTGTAGGGGATGCCCATCTTATTCAATCATTTCTACACATTATACTGCATATGTATATATATATATATATATATATATATATATATATATATATATATATATATATATATATATATATATATATATATATATACATACATATATACATACATATATACATACATATATACATACATATATACATACATATATACATATATATATATACATATATATATATATATATATATATATATATATATATATATATATATATATATACATATATATATATATATATATATATATATATATATATATATATATATATATATATATATATATATATATACATATATATGTTACCCTGCTCTTATTTAGTTTCAGTTTAAGGAAATAAATCATACAAATAATATTCAAATCACATAATCGAACTTAAAAGATATAAGAAATGTAAATTCCAGAACAATTAAAATTATAAAGACCTCAGTCTAGGGATTGTAGAAATAAAGTATTTTATTATATTGTTGCTCTCCAAACATATCTGAAACATAAACTCTCATAAGATCTTTCTTTAGGATGAATCGTATCTTCAGTGGATTAGGTCCTCAGCAGTTTACCCTTTAACTCCAATTGAAAATGACTTCTTGTACAACTCGACTGTCTTCAGTTAACATTCTATGTATATATTAAGCTCACATGACTTTTTTTTTTTTTATGTGCAAGTTCCAATATATAGCTGTTTGTATAACCCATTATTTTCCATATATGCTCTTTGTGGCCCTTTAAAATGATGTTTTGTTTTATAGGCATATATGGACATGGCAATGGTCCTGAACAATCACTGAATTCTTATGAAGTTAGGTGATTATTTTGTCATATTGGTCCTGAGTCATGTGAAACACTTTTGTACTATTGTCATGTTGGTGGCAAATTTATCATAATCATACACCAAAGAAAAAAGTAGGAAAGAAACTTTATACATGTTTTGACCAACAGTTGGCAGAACATGGCTGCCCTCAAGCTCTATAAACCACCTTCCAGCAGATTTTCTCAAGTGTAAGAGAGACAAGATGAATTTGTTAGATCTGACACAGAGTTGTAAATTGCTCTATCCTATTGAATGTTAAAAAAGAAACTTATATGTCGATTGTCACATGTTGGGCAATATTGAGTTAAGTACTGTGTCTGGCGAGGCTAGAGGGCAGCATAATAGAGCAAGGCAAAAAAAAGGAAAACAAATGACAATTAGGACAATCAAAAACACATAGCAATGTTCAACATAATAATATAAACGTACTGTAGCTATCATAAAATGATAAGAAATCCGATGACAACATTTCAATGTGTGAATCGCTGGAGGTGAGAAGTATATTGTATCAGATATGCAAACCTAAATTTAAACTCTCTATGTGCTCAGTCAAAATCAGCATTCAGACGTTATACATGTTTCATAAATATTTCTATTAGATTAATAAAAACATACAACTAGATTGTTTGAATTTTATTTCTCCAGGAATGTAAAAAAGAATAGAGTAATATACACAGGAAAAAATACGGATTTGGCACTTAATGGAAACACAATTTCATTCTGTTCATTTATATGTTATATGGGAAAAAAACAATGCTTGTGACTGTTTTACAATGTATTTAGGTGGTTCTACTTCTTTACCATTAATCAATTTAACTAATTAAAAAATATATAGTTACCTACTGTCTGTAACTAATTTCTAAGTTAAATTTCTTGTTCCTAAATGAAATATATTAAAACCACTCAAAGTTGTACTTTTTACAGATGTGTCTCAGTTATAATGAATGATAATAGTAATAATAATAATAACAGTAGTAGTAGTAGTAGTAGTAATAGCAATAATAATAACAATAATAATAATAATAATAATAATAATAATAATAATAATAAAAATAATGATAATAACAAAAATAATAGACCAATATTTGTCATCCACAAAACTATTCTAATTCAAAACCTATTTATGTTGTGTTAACAGATGCCTGTTCAATGCACTTTTGGTTGCAGCACGGTAAGGGCAATAGCTACATACATAAGGCTTTTCCCCTGTATGAGTACGCATATGTGTCTTCAAATTTGTCTTTTGCGCTGCACGGTAAGGACAATGAGGACAGGAAAAGGGCTTCTCTCCTGTGTGAGCTCGCATGTGGTCCATCAGGTGTGCATAATTAGCGGTGCTGTAGGCACACAGAGGACAGTGATGCATCTTGGCACCTGATCCTCTCCCGCTAGGCCTCAAACACTCTAAGTTGGATCCCACCTGTAGAGAATGCCCATTTTGCTTAGGATAATATGAACGTGGGAGGTTAAAATAGATAATAGATAATCTAACTGAATACTGATTTGGCCCTTCTCATGCTTTTTAGTAGGGATATAATCATACTAATTTTAAGAAAACACTACCACTACTGTTACTCTGTCAACTCCAGGGGTGTGCTTGAAAAATTAAATGCTAATGATGATAAGTCTAATTTTCATATTCTCTCTATCTATTAATGGTAGAAAACTAGCATTCCTTCTACACTTCTGATAGAAATATTCACTAAAATGGGGTTAGATCTTTAAAAATTCATACAGCATATGCAAGGATAAAACTTTTCATTTATGAAGATGAATGAAAGAAGTCTTAGAATTAATATAACTTATCATAACAAGACAAAGTGGTTTATTACAATAAAAAAATCTTTTGTATGAAAAAAATGCACTTCTAACCTCCTCAGAACTTTTATTAAATTAAATATGAGGGTATAAAGTACATAACTGAGTTCATGCAAATTTTGTAAAAAGTGGACTAAAAAATCCTTTTTAATTTCTAGTGATTTATTAAGAATTTGATTGGAATCCCCCCTAAACAGCAATTTCCACTGGCTTGTGAGTACATACAGTATATCAGTTACCATAATAGCATTAAAAAAAATATATTACAATAGGTATTAAAAAGGAAATTCACAATGTAATACACAAAAGATTTATAAACCTCTTGTCTGGCACAATTGTGAATGTTTAAAACACATATAATTCTTTCAACCTGGTGTGCAATTAGGCTACTATGAAGGGCAAAACACTAAAATATATTTCATTTTGACAAGAGTTCATTTAAGGAATGATTTACAGTAACAAGGAATGAAAATACAGGACCATATTTCAGCAGGTATGTCACAGAAAAGATACAAGGAAAAATAAATATCATCATCCATGTACAGTCTCTAAAACAAGTATCTTTACTCAGTCTGACTTAACAATATGATACGACAATGAAAATGGTTGGAATAAGTGTTGTGAGGCCGACTTGATATTGGTATCCCTGACTGGGGTGTCATTTGGGGGAGGGGAAGTTGTCCACCCCTATACTTTTTACCCACCTCCCCACCAGGGCCACAGTATTTTTTTTCTTTTTACTAATTACACCTATATAGATCAGAGATAGTTTAAAATATTCACTTGGCTACATGGAAAAAATTATAATGATAATAAATAAATAGATAAAAAGTGTTTTGAAATATATAATAATATTAATATTTCATGTTACCGCGTGGCGAACACTAGTAAGTCTACATTAACTGACATCCGTCTGCAGAGCTGAATCGCTCCCTTGCCATAATTTCTTGGGCAATGACGATATGACAATTACAGGTATGATCTTAGAACTCTCTG